TTTGACACTAGAGTAGGGTTGCATATCAAAAGAGGAAAGTACAAATAGGCCCATGTAATTTGCATTTAATTTCTAATTGAGAAGAGACAATTCAGTTTTATTAGCTTTCTTCTTTGTTAGCCTCAAGGGCAGCACCATCTTAGGTGAATTATTATTTGTTTTACTTGGCACTCAGGTAACCTCCTCATTTCTCCCACCTATTGCTGGAAAATAAAAAGGAAAGGAAACTTTTAGTAGTAAATGATGAATTTTAATATCTGATTATTTGAGAGCCCTGTCAAGGAAAAGTTTTCATTTATTAGAAAATATAATAATATGATATCTATGAATAAAGTAGTAATAATAATAGTGCTTATTATGTTCTTGATGCCATTGTAAACAATTTACATATATTAACTTATATATTCCTCTCAAGGACCTTCTGAAGTGGGAACCATTTATATCGCTATTGCAGAAGCCCTGAGAAGTTAAGCAATTTGGAAACTGTCACTGGATTAGAACTCAATGTCTGTTTATAAAACTACTAGGTGAAACTATAATGAGTAAGTCAGCTACTTGCAAATGTATATTTGATGGCAGAGTTTTCCCGCTTTGTTAAAACAATGCCCCAAACCAATAAGGTCGCCTTTCAATGGGTAGTTCTGATACAAACTAAATGAGAGCCAAAATTTACCCTTTAAAAAAAAAATCTATGAAAATATATGCATCATCAGAGGTCATCATAATTTTACTGACTACAAATTCAGTGAAAATGTTGTGCAGATTAATACAAATCTGAACACTTAAAAGAAAATCATCTGTATTTATAAATAAGTGCTAAATATCTATAGATCAGTCTTCTGAACCATAACACTTAAATATGGCTTAAATAAATATAGTCTTACTGGTCCAACTCTCCATTACTAAAAATTTATATCACATTAATTCATGTGGCAGGTTGACAAAATAGAGGTTGGAAGTTTAGAGAGAAATAAAACCCCATGATTCTAGGCAAAATTTATTTATTCCAGAAGAAGTGACTTTTTCACTAATTATATCACTTAGAAGGAACACAACTTTGCAGTAACTCATAACTGGGATGAGTGTTAAAGTAACTTTTGATAACTCACATAAAGATACCCCATTGGCAGCAGTTTCTTAAACTTGATTGGAAAAAAAAATTCTGCTCTCAATCTCAATAATTAAATAAAAAGAAAATGGTAAATGCCATTATAATATTTGTGATGTCCAATAACATCTAATTTCAGAAGATATTCTGATTTTTATACAGATCTAAGGAAGGCAAAAATGAAGATGTTTGTATATACTGCTAGAGAAATTTCTCAGCAAAGCTTAATTTTTGGATCAAACTCAACTTTTAAAAGAGGCATTGTGAGTTCATAACCCACTTGAATCAAAGTGTGGAATATGATATGTCAAGAAATTTGTAATGTTTTGAACAACCAACAATAAAAAATTAAAAAAAAAAAGAAATTCATCCATGTTGTTAAAAAAAAAAGTTGATGATGGATAAATGTATTATATCCAAAAAAAATAAATAAATAAAAGAGGCATTGTGAATCTAAATGGTTTAAGATGAGACTTGTGTAGCAGAGATTATGATCAGGAGAGATGGGTAGAAAGAGTACTGTAAGTCCTTCTCACCACTACCAGGATGTTGGAGCTAGTAGAGATTTTAATTAGATTTTTAATAGCCCTGGAGGAGTTGGGGGTTGAATATTGACTAAATCTTCAAGGCATGTATAAAATAATAAATACTTAAACAAATGAATGAATAAAACCTCCTTTACACCTACAAGCTTGTAAAAACTTGGTATAGCTTAAAATTAACCATGAGACTCTGTATTCAACCATGACCTTATAGCTCTTCTAAAGTCCCTTCTACTCCATAAGTAACGTGAGTGATATTTAATTGTTATAGCACTGGCTTCAAGGAATTCTGGATTTGCCTGAGTGTATAACATCATACCAAACAACTTGCAGAGACAAAATATTTTAAAAGGTTTAGGAAACAGTTGGGGAAATATCCTCATAAAAACACATATTCAGTACAGATTGAATAGAAGGTTTTAAAAAGATGAGTGTGACCAAACAATGAATTCTCAAAAGAATATAAAAGAATTAGTACACTCATTGAAAATTATCAGTAAATCCTTCAAGGTTTCACATGATTCTAATAAATAAAACCCCAATAGTAATCATTTTTATTATATTGGGAATCTAGAAAGGTAATCTGATATATATGGTGGAATGATGCATTTCAAGAACAGAGTATAAAAGATAGTTTAAAAATAAAAAAACAGAAGTTGTTCTACATTGAATGGTAGATTCTTTGCTCTTAATGGATCCTAAAGATGGTAGCTGCTGATTCTTACTTGGAATAACAGATGAGAAGACATACAAAATTTAAAATAATACTCTTTTAAAATGTATTGGCCAATGGTATAAATAAGTAAGAAAACCTAAATTAAAAATAAGAAAAACAATGTTAGGCAATAGCTGTAATTTCCAAGAGTCAGCACTATTTTAAAGAAAAAAATAGGAGATATTATATTTCTAACTTAGAAAGAACAAAAATGGAGTTTTATTTTTTAAAAAATTGCTAACTGTAACTAAGAATGAATGGGAAGTTAGAATATATGAGGATGCAAAGATGAGGTATCTAAGATCTTTTTTAAATAATAGAGAATATAATCTTTTGAATAAACACAAGTGAATAATTATGTTGCTGAGGTGACTGAAGTGTTTATCTGGAAAGATGAATCTTGGATGCCACCTACCTAAATATGATACACACGCCTGAATGCAGGGAAGATAGGACCCTGGGGAATAAGACAAGATTAAAGAAGGAGGTTAAAGGCTATCTTCAGAGACATAATATGAAGAAATAAAATTTTAAAGTACTTTAATCAACTAAGGTAAAAATTGAGATGAGAATATAACCAGGAGTTTCTGGACCTGGAGTGGGGCTAGGAAATTAATTCAGGGAATGAAGATCACTATGATCTCTGGCACCATTAAAGTCACTAAGTGAAAGGAAGAGTACATATCATGATGAAAAAGATCACTGCTTGGACACACTTCAAATCATGCATTCAATTTAACCTCCTCCCCAAAGTCTTCGTCAACATAACTTCTTCAAAGTCACAGAAATTTTATATCCTGCATTCAATAGCTTTAAGAACTATCTTTTAAAATTACTGACCTTAGTTTACAGACCTAGACATATTATCAGTCCATATGAAATGTTATTATTTTCTTTCAATTAATTTCAAATTGACTCAGTCATACACATATTGTTATATTCCCGGTAGGTGACATTATTGAGAAGAAATTGAAGTAAGGAGTTCATCAATAACATTACAAAATGTGCTTGAGTTTGAAGTTCATAAAAATGGTCCACTTAAAAAAAAGGTTTTAACTAACTTTATATACATTTTAGTAATAATACTGGACAAAATAATAATTTTACATATTATATCCATCCTTACAATAAGTAAAGAAACAGTATATTGTTACAGTCATCTCATCCCTTCTTTAAACAATAGCAACTATTCCATGGATGCTGTGATTAACAGATGCAAAATATACCTTATGACAAATCCTATTGATAAGGATAATTTTCTTTCTAGGAAAACTAACTGTGATTTGAAAAGTAAATTTAAAAAATAGAGTACTCACATTTCGATAAATTTCACAAACTACAGAATAAAACTAAATCAAAAAGAGAAGATTATCTATATAAAAAAACTTGAGATTGTCTAAATGTATATCATCCAGTAAATTCCAACAAAGAAAAGAAGGTAGTTGTTTTGAAAAAAAAAAAAAAGGTAGCTGTTTTAATATATTTTTCTCGTATTTGAAGGAATTTTCCCTCTCACTATTCTTACTTAACTTAATGTAGATAATTTAAAATCACAACTAGATTATAGTTACTACAACCTTGCACCCAACAGCATATGAAACTCAATGAGATATATTAAAGTGTGAATCCCTATATCAAATTCAGTTTGCACACTACTTGTCCTAATCTCTGTCTATAAATAAGATGCAAATTACTTGAGTAAAAGAAATTAAGAGTACTGGCATATAAATCTTTCTTAATCATAAGCAATAAATATTTCATTATTTGTGTAACAAAAAGCAGGCAGAAACAGGTTAAAAACAGATTAATAATTCTAGTTTAGGGGTAAGAAAAAATAACAATGTTGACCTTAAAAATAACTAAGTTCATACAAATACCACATTCTACCAATACACTATATTCTTAATAGTTTCCAACACTGATTGCACAAATGTTGTATCTAGCCATTTTTATTTCAGTGAAATTATTTCTAATATTTCTGTCACTCAGTGTGAAAAAGAGAAAGAAAGAGAACCCATCACAAATAAAATAGTACATCAAGAGAACTTCATTTCAAAAATATAAATGATGTTGATGTCCAGAGAGCATTTTAACCAGAAGTACATAAACACACATAAAAAAATCATGATTTACATAAAAGTAGCTTTCCTAGCCCTTAAAATGTTCAATATTATCTGAATAAGTCTTTTAGGTATTAGGATTACATGTGATTTTCTCCTCACAAGTACACAGGTTTCTTTAAGTATGTATTAGACAGTATATTTTTACTTCCACAAAGACTATGAAATTGCTTTATACCTGGGACAATGTGGAATTCTATGATGCTTAGCAGACTATATACCACATAATTGCCCATTTCAACTGCTTTCAATGAGGCCTGACAGCTCACCAGTTTATAACAGTGGCAGACAACTGGAAAAAGAAGTTTCTCGTTATCTAACTTCCATTTGGAAAAAATTTCCTGAAAATTCAGGATTTAAAAAACAGGCATATGAATAATGGAACACACTGCTACAATCAACCAGGTTTTACACTATTCCTACCAAAGGGAATGAGGTTTAGAACTTGCAAATAAAGCAATGCATTTGAAAAGTAATCCGAGGAGTAATAAATATAAAAAATCATTTCTAATTACCTCTGTTGAGTGATGCCGAACTGTTTATATCTCCAGTAATAAATGACGACTCTGACTGTTTTCGCACCGTATCATTCCACATTCTACGAATTCGGCTCTGAATGGAGAAAAGGAAGAAAAGAAACAAACTCATGAGGCTGTGAGTTTTCACCTAAATCATTCTCTCACAGTTATATGAGACCTTTGTTTCTAGCATCTAGAAAATAAATGATGTCTACCTGCTTATAGCATAGTCACATGAGAATATCACAATTAAAATTAATGACACTACCTGGTTGTGAAAAAGGAATAAATGTAAAGCACTATACCAATTCATATATTTTAGGTTATATAGAATACTGTACACAGAATTAGAAAGTTTAAAATTTTAGTTTCCAAAGTAAAACAAATTTTTTTCATTTCAACTTTTTTTTTTTTTTTAAATCAAGGATTGAACCCAGAAGCACTTACCCACTGAGCCACATTCCCAGCACTTTCGATTTTTTTTATTTTGAGACAGGGTCTTACTAAGTTATTTAGGGCCTTGCTAAATTGAAACGGGCCTTGAACTTTCCTCCTGCCTCAACCTCCCAATTCACTGGAATTACAGGTATGTGCCACCACATTGGGTGCAATATAACTTTCACTGGGATGTGAATGTTTAAATATGTATTAAGTTGTCAGATTATTAACAAAAGTTTAGTTTAAAAATTCAGTCTTGCAAGAATGACACTGGTAAGAACAAAATATTATTAAAATTCTATTGAGTTTACATTTTCCATAACTACTATAAGAAAACCTATGCAATTTTAGAGATTACATACTATCCTGCCTTTTCTTTTGAAGGAGATAAAGGTATCAATTCATCTCTATTCAATGCTTCAGAGTAGGAAGTTTTATAAATAACTAAAATTTCTTCCATTATTATTTAATTATTTCCATCATTATTATCTCAAATTCAAATTTACATGTCAGATAATTTCTGAAAATATTGTAATATTACATTTTGAAGAATTTTTTTTTTTTGTTTTGCCATCTTATTGAATTAGGGATCAAAAACTTTGGAGGAAGAAACAAAATATTTCAGAAGGCTTTTCCAAGAATGAAATAGTTTGTAAGAAACATTGCTACAAATAAGGTTGAAATCAACTCAGAAATGGGTTATGTTCCATGTTTTAACTTCATAAACAGTAACAGTAGTTAATCTTAGAATATTATATAGTTGTTTTTATAAATCTTGAAATGTATTCAGAAGTATTTAGAAATATTGTTGAATATCTAATCACATTTCCACTGTGTCACTGATGACACACACATACACACAGACACAAAACAAAATATACCAAAACTCATTAAAAAATGACAAATCTTAAAAGATTTATTCAGTGAAAGAAATCCCTAAAGATATGGACAATATCATTTTACCAGAAATATTAACAAAGGAATACTAAAAAAATATTTTTGGAGGGGGAAAAACTACTACTATAAGTCAAGAAAACTATAGAACAAAAATTAGGAAGCTTCTATAGGGACATATACTGAAAAAAATGTGATTAGATATTCAACAATATTTCTAATACACCTAAAAAGTCAATAAAATAAATGAAGGATAAATGACAGAACAATTAGAGGTATACAAAAGAGGGAAGAAAAAAATCTTTTAGTCCACAGTTTAAAAAAAATCTGTACTTATTTCTGTGCACTTACCTTTGCATTCTTTGGGAAATGATCATCATTTATAAGTGATTAGTACCAGGAAGGAAGGAAGGATAGAGCACCAACATATGGAGTCAATTTTCAATTCCTTAGTTTTGCCAATCATGTCATTCTAGTATCTAGATAGCTATCACATGATCTTGATTACTTGTGCATGATACCCTGTCTCTTCCTTCTCTAAATCATCCCATTGACTTTCCAAAGCAATCCAAACAAAATCTAAATCCATTTACTCCTACAAATACTATAGGGATCTATCTCCTGCCTTTTCCTCTGACTTCTGCAATTGTCTCTCTAATGTGACTACATTCTTCTCTTAAAGAATGTCTTTACTTTGCCTAACAGGATTCCTTCTGTTCCTGAATTTTTAAGTTTCCCCTGTCTTAAAGGCTTTCCAACAGCTGTTTTCTCATCTGAAATTGCTTTCACCTGAACTTCCTTTCTTCCTCTCATTTAGAATATTGTCATTCAGCACTGGCATAATTATTACATCCAAAGACAGTCTTTGAAAACCCAAGTAGTCCCTTGAATACTTTCCATCACAGTATGTTGCTTCTATACCAGTTTTCACTATCTGATAAATTCTCCTACTACTACAATCAAAGCTCGTGATTATAGGGAGGTTATCCCCTGAAAAGACTAGCTGGTATTATATAGGAAGTTCTCAATATTTCTAAATAAAAATGTGAAATACATAAGGATTTTTATTTTAGAAGTTCTGTGATATAAAAAAGCATCCATGCTCCCCAATTTTTTGCCTTAATATCAGTGAATACATTAGCCTTTGCTTATGGAAAATCACAATTAATGAGAAACATATTTTATTAGTTTTATCTAACTCAATGACAGAATCTAAGTGACTATCATTTTATAGAGGCCTATACTGGCATATTGATCAGAATCAGTATCCTAAGTATAAGAAAATAATGTAAGTTTTTCCCCCAGGAATATAATTATGATGTTACAAACTATAATGGTGAAGAAATAAATGATATAATTTTAAAATGTATACAGTTTATGAATATAAATATATATAAAATATATAAATATATATGATGTTATATTCTGTAATTGCACTAATGAATGGTAGCAGCTACCATATATTGAGCACCTACAATCTAAGCATTCTGTATACATTAACTCAATCATTCTAACTGAAGAAATTAGTATTATTATCATTACTTTACAAATGAAATACTTTTAATGAGATTAAAACTTGTTCTGTCATAGCTGGCACATGGTAAGGCTAGGATTCAAACAAAGGTGAACCCACCCATAAAGTTTATCAATATTTTATTAAGCTTCACTGCTTTATCTCCTAAACTAGAAGTATTACTAAATATTTTATAACTCTGTTGTAACTTAATAACTGAAACTACCAAATATTCTTTCAGTAATGACTTTTGTCTACAAAATGACTATAGCAAGTGAGTTCAATGAATGCTTTTGCCTATTAACCTAATCAGGTGGACAATATGCAAAATCTCAGTAATTTCAATTTAAAAGTTGTCAAAATATTATTACAAAAAGGAGAGGTGGGGAGAGGGATGGCAAGTTTGAAATAAAGGCCTTGATTACACAAAGGAGCTTTTGCTGGAAGCATCCTCTGGAGTTCCCACCATTCTTAGGCAAATTGGCAAATTAAGAAGTCTTAGGCTTAGAAAACTCTGCCCACCTGAAGAGTATATCTGGTTCCCCTAATATGCAACTGTGCAACCTCAGTAAAATATAGAAGTGACAAACCAAATGCAGATTTTTAATACCTATTTGTTATATTTAGTAATAATTTTCATTATTTGTGGTTGATAAGTTATTTAAAATAATCTTATATGTTTGACAATTAAATATGAGTTACTAAAACTTTAGTTGGAAGTGTATTATATTGACATTAGATACATGATTTCATTTATAGATAAAGGAGAACTTCATTAAATTTCAGAAAAGTGTTTATGGAAACAATGTTTATTATCATTGAATTATGAGAGTTGTTCCAGGGCTAATCATTTTGAAAAATAATTAGATTTACAGGTTGAGGTAAGAGTCAAGAAAAATTAATCTGAGATTTATCAACTTAATCAAGCCTTACTCAGAATTCAACTGATGACACTGAAAACAGTGGGTTTTTTCCCTACTGAGACAAGCAGTCACAAAACGATTAGTCTGATTATCTGAATTCAAACTTGCTCATACCCACACAATCCTGTCTTTTATAACTGGCTCATTTTAGCATCAAAGATGCTGAAATTTCTATGTAACTATCTTTGGGATGAAATTGTAGCCTGGTAAAAATGGCCAACAGTTTACCTAAGGGTTTACAATTTCCCTGATAAGGGACTCTATATAGTTGTGTTCCGTGCTGAGCTGATGGAAACAGACCAGTTATTTTGATGATGTGTCCTAAGTTCTCCACTCCTGAGGTTTTCCTCAACTTGTCAGCACAAAAATATGGTAGGAATTATAATAGTTTTTTTACTTAAACATATAATTTTATATGTAAATTATTTCAGTATGTGATAAA